GATGCACAATGCAACAAAATTACCCATAGATGTGCAGAGTAAAAAAAGACTTCAAAGTATTCTATTATCATGAATTGTTGTTTAATTGTGTTCAATAAACTCTTCATTCCATGTTGTGTTTTTCGGCTTCGGGCGGAGAGAGTTTATTCTCACCAAGCATTTCCACTATTAAGCTTCACTTGGATTTTGACAAACTGTATTTTTATTCAAAGCTAACAATGTCTTGTAAGATTCATTTGACAATTTTAACGTTGGGACTTAGGACAGGGTTACACCTCCAATCACTGTAGGCATGTTGGGTATATGTTGGAAATTTATATACCTGAGCAGTGATGGAAAAGTGGCTGTGCAATAGGCATGTGAAGAAACAATTAAACAGGCTCTATCTGCCAGAAGCTAACAATGATAAAAAGCCCTAACTGGGTTGTACCTTTCATGCTGAAAGATGATTTCCCAAATTTATCTGTTGTTACTAATTACTATAAGAATGTTACTCTAGCTTAACTGATTAATAAGGTGGAACAAGGGTGATCTTGCATTTCGACTCTTTAAAGGAAGAATCGAAAAGCTTTCCCTTATGATCAATGTAAGCTATCAGAAAAAATTCAAACAAATAAACAAGGAGAAATTACTGAAGAGATTGGTCTAATAGTCAAATTTAAATCAAAATAGGCAAATAGTTCTACCAGATAGATTTGATTTCACAAGTTTTTAATTACTAACTGTTATTTCGTATGGTAATTTTTGATTCTATTAGTTTAAGGTGGTTATTCCAACAAGATTAATCGAGGAAAGTTACATCATCTATTAGGAACTAAAAATGAACACAATAGTCTTCAGCGATAACAATATTATAATACCTGAAAGAATATATTTTCATTTAAGTTGATAAAAGAAGTACCTGTAAAAAGATAACTTTTAACTAACTTGGTATTACAGGAGAAAATATTTTCAATTTCCACAAAAGAACAGGAACACAAGGCATCCACATAGCAGCATCAGAAGCTTGCAAAACACGACATTCAGTGGCAGCAGCAAAAAAGTGCAAAAAATGATCGTTTCGAGAACCACAACAAAAGTGTTCCAACTGCAATTCAAAACAATAAAAAGATAACGTGTCTAGAGACCGTATAGAATTCAAAGAAGATAAATGCAAAGATAAGTAAATCTTATTTATATTAGTCAATTGCAAAGATGAAGTTTTAAACAATGTACAAAATAATTTAAATACCTTTTAATTCTTTTTCATGGGAGAATTTTTCATTTTCATGCTATGTTTGTGGGTGGAAGGATTATATTTGTTTGCCATGCTTGGATATTCTTTTCCCCTGAACTAAGATGTTCAATTGTGCGCTTTTTCGCATCTGTAACATTGACAGTCGTAGATGTCATTGGTTTATGAATCACATCTTGTTTCTCCAGGTAAGACAAAATGAATAATTTTTGCGTTGCATCCAATTTTTTGTGAATAGCCTTTTCATTTGAATGTTGAATATCTTGCCGTTCAATTGATCTTCCACATTTTGGAGCAACAATGTTTCTTTCTGAAAAAAAAGAATAAAAATTGATTAATAATAACAAAATCAATAAAGCGAACATACAAATAGAAAGAGATTGGATATTTTTACCATAAACAAAGATGATCAACAACAATAGCATATGCAAGGATCATGAATTTTCGAATGAAAAGAAAAGTGAATGAGGTAAGAAAAGTAAATGACAATAAAAATATTAAATTTGTTTTTAAAGGAAAATTAATATCTCTATGTTTATGTATTTACATCTGAATTGAAATTCAATATTAAAGGTCTTTCAACTAATCGAAGTGTAGGTGCGCATGACAGTTTATGCACAAAGCGCTCAGCCAATGGGTAACCATGTGAGATGGATAAAAGCCAAAAAAATATATACAATGATAATATTTTTATAAAGAAAGTTGACTGTAAACAAACAACAAAAAGTATAAATTGGGTGCTGGAGAAAAGAAACACGAACATAAGATATGAAATTTTGATTGAAAAAAGTACACTGAACACTTTACAGAAGGAGACGTTGACGACATAATGTAAGAGATAGACCCAAAGTATGTAAAGTTAAAACCTCTTTTAGAGTTAAGGCATGACCTAGAATCACATGTTCCTCCTATAAGAGTTTTTACAACTTACATGATACATTAAAATAGATCTTTATTACAAATTCTTTCATGCTAGAAAGCTTATAGAGTTATAGTATCCTTTTTAAGTTAAGGAAGTCATATGTTCACTTGATCATATGTTCATTCAGTTGAAACTCTTAAAAGTTAGATAGTGTATTTTTCACGTAATTACAGAAAGTAATTGGTCATAGTTTAAGTACATATATACATATATGATTAGTAATCTTAAAATAAGTAATTGATAATTACATATCTTCGCACGCAAGATAATATTATAGCCTACTCTATAATGTAGGGTAGATATTTCTAGGATTACTACTTGTGATGTTATTATGTGCATATAATTTAGAGAGTAGTGAGTTAGAACATCTTATCGTAGATTCGCTTAACTGTTAAAAGCCAGTGGACAGACTTTATAGGAGACCTTGAGGGAGAGTTGAATTATGTGTTTAAGAGTAGAAATAAGAAACAATGAAAATACAAAATCACAACAAGTTCTTTGTGATTATTTGGTGAGAAAATAGTGAAATTTCATAAATTTCTTCTGAAGTGAGGTGCAACATTTTTTCTGCAATTTCATCAGAAACAATAGCTGTTGCAAAACCGCCGCTGTTATCCTTAATAGTAACTTCAAATTGACATCTGTTTTGATATAGTTAATGAAAAATTAAAAAATAATGGTTAGATAAGACATTTATTTCTTTGAAAAAACAAAATAAATATTTTTAATTAGTTATTATTAATTTTGAAGAAGAGAAAATATACCTAGGAATAAGATGTGTGGATTGGTGACAACTTGTGCAGTAGATTTCCCTTCGCACGTTATATCTCGTGAACAATTGCTTACAGTTTGAGCATGCCAACACACTAAAGCGTTGATCCTTACTTGCAAGGGACAATTCAGCCTCAACATTAAATACTTGTCCCTTCAAATTCAATATACCAAATTTTATTTTTTACGGAAAAATAAAAAAATTATAAAAAATAGAATAATATACTTGTTGTTCTTACCGGAGGTTGTGCTTGAATGTTAGCCATAGATATAACCTCATCCTCAATTGGAATCAACATAATAGAGCCTATTGGAGTTGTACTTTTCATCTTATAAGTAACAAGCTTTGTTTCAATTGTTTTGATCCTATAAACAAGTAAATTATGAAAATGTCTTGTAAAAAGATAAGGAAAAAAGAAATAAAAATGAAATTTTAAAACTTTGTGATTGTAAGATTAGAGATGTGTTTTATATCTCAAAATATTCTGGAATTTCGATCCATTAAATAAAAATGTATATTACCACGTCCTTAATTCGGCAACCTGTGGATATGGAGGATTGATTTCAATTGTTGTATTGAATTTGCTCGTCAAACCAACGAATCTATTCGGCATTCCTACGTGCATTTGAATATGTGATTTTAGTTTCATCATGTCATATATTTTTCAAAAAGAAAAAAAAAACTATTTGCACTTTTACCTGAGGATGATTTCCCAATTCTCCTAGCAAGAATGATTGGGTAATCATGAAGTTGGTTGAAAAGTTGAACCAAGAACATGAAAAAGATAAGGAGGAACAACTGCCAGGGTATCATTGTGCCCATTTTTAATGCTGCATTTATAGTAAATTATAAGGTGATGCTGGCTGTGAATGTAGCTGCAATGAGCTTGTCATTGTTATCATGTGGAGGAATTGGTACTTTCTTGAGCACAAGTCCTATGGTGAAATCTTTTCCAAGAGTTTTATTGGAGGCAGGATGGCTATGGTCATTACCTTTTGCCTTACTAAGCTGATTGGCTCTACTACAAGTATTTCTTTCTCTTTTGGATCAAGTCAGTCTAGCAGATTGGGCATTACACTACCAATAGGAAAAATACTACCAATGAACTTATGGATCCACATATTACAGGGGAGATTATAAAATAATGTTTGAAGCAATTGATCAATACAACAGTGAGTTACTTGTCTGATCACAGAACTGATCATCCTTCAATGGGTTCAGTGCTGTGGAATCTTGAGTACTGCCTTTAGTCGTAAAGTGATCTTGATGAATTGAAAATGGTGGTAGAACAGAAAGCTAATGATGCTTATGCTATGCATATAGAATTGTTAACGGTTGCTGAAAAAGGTAAGGAGTCAGAGGAGCACACAATGTTGAGACTACTTACGAAAGGGTACTAAAGAAGGCAAATAATTTCATCTTGTTAATTGAAAAACTACTTAACTAAGCAGAGTGCATGATGGACTGTATACACAAATATATAGTCTATTCGTCATAGACTCGTAAGACATAAACAGTTTATTCATCACACGACAAATTTCGTACACAAACAGGTTTACATGTATGAGTCACAAACAGGTTTAAAACCAAGAGGAGGTAAATAAATGCTAAACATATAACGTTTACATGTTGACAATATGTGATTTTTCTATAGAAATTGCAGGTTGCATTATTATGGAGAAAAATACTATTAAGATGTCAACGTAGAGGTAGACACAATCATTACTACCTTTTTTAACATATAGTTTCATAATGAAATAAATGTATTTTTTTAATTCTGTAAGGTAGCATCTATATGATCACTATTAAGTATAGAAGATTGAGAAACTTGTATCAATTATAAATCAGGTACTCCGATATTATTGAAGGGAGCACACAACACAATATAAATACCAGAAAATCTCTTAGTTAGCCACCTCTAATATTTTCCCTAATTTTTGCTTGTGGTTTTTCATAGCAAGTTTCTATGCCGACAATAACATATGATAGAGGAGATGACATAGGAAGAGGAGAAGATCAAAAACAAGTAATTAGATATGAAGATAAATGAGCGAGTGATATTCTATATATACTTACAGCTTGTCCATGACAATAAACTCTTGAATTCGTTTTCCAGTTGTAGTTTTTGTTGAAGGACTGCCATTAATGACAATGGCAAGTACATCTTGCATTAAACAAAAATAAAGAAAGAATAATTAGATCATGATAAATATTCTATTATACTAACAATTAGATTTTGTGTATAATAATAATTAAATAAAATTATAAATACCAAATTCAAATTCTTTGGATTGATACTCAAAAGTGTTAAATGTGGTAAGAGTTAGTCGTGTTGGTGGTGGTAATGGATCCTCTGGAGGTTTGACCTCTTCAACTGGTTCAACAATGGTATTTTTATCGAGTGTCCAAATGAATTTGTTAAGTGGATTTTCGTATCTAAGAGGTGGTAATTTCACATGTGCAACAGATACCAAGTAAGTCTTGAAAGGAGCAAATTCTTTTTCAAAATATGTTATATCAGTACTGAAAATAGTGGCCTGAACTTGATTCTCCTGTAAAAGAATTTGTAAAAAGTTTGATTAGTTGTGTAAAATTTAAAAATAATCTTATTATTTTTCATATTATTAAAGTAAAATTATAAAATGATGAATTATTTAGTTAACGCAATTAAAGTTAGGCTCTTAAAATCAATAATATATTAACAAAAATAAATACCTCTTCATCTTGCAGAATTAAGACTTGGTATTTTGTGGTTTTATCTTTGTTGTCCCTTGGTCGACTTTTATCAACAACTTGGACTTTATAGGTCCAATTTTTAGTATCGGGAGTGATCATATTAATGGTATATCTTTGTGCAATGTTGAAATATCTGCAAGTAAAATACATTGTAAGAGGATAAGCTAAAGGTAAATGTATAATGAAAGCAATATTATAATATAGATAAATAAATAAATAAAAAATATATATCTATAGTATAAGTAAGTTGTATATGAGATTTACCATTGCAAATTAAAGCACAAAGTTCAAGAAAAGGCCTTTTCAATAATTTCATTATAGACAACATTATATGTTGAATGATCATCATTTTCGTCAATTATAGGTGGTCTAATTAATACTTTTACACTGTGAGAACTTGTCGCTCTTGATAAAGCAACATACAATTGTCCATGAGAGAAGACAGGTTCACGTAAATATATACCAACAAAACCTAATGTCTGTCCTTGAGCTTTATTTATAGTCATGGCAAAACATAATCGTACAGGAAATTGTGTTCTCTTAAAAGGAAGAGACAATTTTTCATCTTCTGAAGTCATGAGTGGTATTCGTGGAATAAATACATGTGTATTTTAAAAATCTCCGCTAGATATTGTATCACTGATAACATGAGGTTTAAAATCATTACATATTAAGCGTGTCCCATTGCATAAACCTTCAGAAGGATTTAAATTTCTTAATAACATAATGGACAACTTTTCTTCAAAGTTAATTTGTATGGAGGTAAACCAGTAGGATTTAAAGTGTGTAAGAAATCTTCATATTCACTTTGATCCTTTGGATCAATAGTTTCATCTATAGCAATATAGACTTTTTCAGTGTTTGGAAATTGAGAGATCAACATGTCATTTATTTCATCAACAAAATCATTTTTAGTTGTTAGAATAGCACGTGAAGTAATAAACGAAGTTTTTGTACAACATGTTTATAAATCTGGATAAGTATTTCTAAAGAGAAGATTTAGAGATTCTTTTTCAGAAGTGAAAGGAATAATGAGGGAATGAGGAATTTCATTTTTTCCATGGTCATTTGTTTTTTCTTTTCCATCACCAATTCTCATTAAATATTCACAAAATTCAGGATCTTTAGTTGCATGCATATTCTTCGATAACTGTAATTTTTCAAGTTGATTCCAAATTTCAGAACACAATAAACTTTCACGAATAAAATCTTCTTTTTTTCCACTACGAATAACAGGAAGAGTTTGTCTGAAATCACCACTAAAAACAACTATTTTACCACCAAATAACGTATTTGTTTCCATTACATCTCTTAAAAGTAAGTCAAATGCTTCAACCATTTTCTTTTTTGCCATTGAAATTTCATCCCACACAATTAATTGGGCATCTCGTATTAAAGATCCTAGTGAACTTTGTTTACTAATATTGCAAGTAAAATTTTCATTGACATCAATAGGAATTTTAAATCGAGAATGAGCAGTTCGACCTCCAGGAAGAAGTGAAGCTGCAACACTAGAACTTGCCGTCGCTAAAGCTATATATCCCTTGTGTCTTACTGTAGCTAATAAAGCATGAAATAAAAAACTTTTACCAGTTCCACCAGGACCATCAATAAAGAATTCCCCAAATTTATTTGACAATACTCTATCAAGAATAATATTGTAAGCCTTTCTTTCTTCAATGTTTAATTTATTTTTTAATAATAAATCTTCCTCGCTAACAATGATATTTCTTTCGTAATGAACTTCTTTAGCTTCTTTTGCTATTGATGAAGGTTTGATATATTCTGAAATTAGGTCAAATTCATTAATGTCACGACCCATTGAATGAAGAATATCATTAATGTAATTTAATACTTTATAACGTATTTCTCTTACATTTATGTTCGAACTTTTTTTGAAATCTTCAGACATTGGGCTTTCAAATCTTTCCCATAATTCTCTAGGATTTGTTGGATTACAATAAATCAATAACATAGCAAATAATTGTCTTAAACTTGATGGCATTTGATAACTTGCAGCTTCAGACATGCATTCTACCAAATTATTATCACAAAGTAATAGTTCTCTTTTTTTTGCAGCTTCTCTAAATGAATTATATTGTACTCCATTTACAGTTCGCAGATCTTCATATGATTTTGGCCCTCCTACGTTCATTAAAAAAAGTCTAAGATAATATCTTTCTCCTTCAGTTGGATGACATGTCACTACACGTCCAATAACATGACCTCGTTTACGACGTGTCCACATTTTATTTGTTGTTGACCATACAAAATGTTCTGGAAATTCACGATATAATAAATTTAGGTCCATAGCTTATTTGTTTGATTTATTCATTAAAAAAAATTCGGTTAACATTGTTTTTCTTATCATGGGATTACTTGCAATTTTACTAATGTTGTCAGTACTTTTGAAGGGAACAAGTTGTTGTCCATCAAGATGTAGTTGTAGATGATATACACTTGGACTCATTTCGCTAATAGGAAAAACGAATATTCTCCATGCAGCTTCAGGTGGTGATACCCACCTAGCAGATTGATATTCTTTTATTTCATCTATCTCTAGGTTTACATCATTAGTCTGTATATGAAATGCTATTTTATCATGTCCTTTGCAAATGTATTTATAAATGTACTTAACAACTTTTATATCCGAACAAATCTCTACATTTATATGACAGTTGAATTTACAAAGTAAATATGGATTGTAAGGAACAACCCATGAGTTATCAAGAAAGTGTCCTCTAATTTTCACACTTTTTCCTGTATTTCGTCTTCTATAAATTAGGTATGAATTTTTTCCTTTAGTTGTTTGTTCTACAAACTCTTTAGGATACTTGTTTTTATAACGTCCTTTTTTCTTCATACAAGAATTTGTTGGATTCAAATTACCACAAGGACCATGCATCATGTGTTGTGTAACACGTGAGTATAAATAGGGATATATATTTTCATCTGGTATTTCAGCACATACAAATTGATCATATGCTTCTGGAGTTAGTAATTTGTAATTCTCATTTAGTATAATAAGAAAATGAGCATGGGGAAGTCCTCGTTTTTGAAATTCTATTGTATACATAAATGCTGCAACTTTACCAAATATATGTCTTTTCATTATATCATTTTTTAATTCTTCTACTTTTGTTCTAAACACTCTACTAACCAGATCGGGCCTATTTTGTACCTCATCAGTTGATATAAGTTTTTCTTCTATTTCAGGCCAAGAAGGATTACATGTTATAGTAAAAAATATATCAGGTTTTCCAAAACGTTGCACTACTGCAATAACATCCATATACCGTCTACGCATATCTCTTGGACCTCCAGTAAAGCTATGTGGAAGTATGCGTTGTTTTCCTATATGTGAAGCTTCTCTTTCCCCCTTACGTAAAACATCTAAAATTCCGTCTAATACATCAGTTCTAATTAAATCTTGATTAAAAGAAGCAAAGTCTAATCGTTGACTTTCAATTTTTATTCATTCATCTACTACATATTGTTGGAATAATCTTCCTGCATGTAAAACTATATTTTCATCATCTCTTATTTGAAGTTTGTAACAATAATATTCACGACAAGAAATTGTGTCTCATTTGTGGTTTTCTTTTAGCATAACTTCGGCTTCCATGTTAAGCAGTCCATCTATTGAACACATATTTTTTATACTTGATAGTTGTTCTTGTTCGCAATATATTTGTGTTGATGTTCTTGTAGAGCACTTAATTTTCTTAATACCACAGTGCCATCCACCTTGACCATATGAAAATAGCAATGGATATTGCAATGGATCATAACAACCGTAATAATAATTTACCAATTGACTCTTATAACCTTTTGTATATATTCGAATATGTGGTGTAGGAATAGAATTAGTAATATCTTGTTCTACCCATATTCCTGCAACTTCTGATACTGTTGGTAAGTTATATATACGCTGATCTAAGCCAGAATCACACTTAAGTGCAATATAAAAATCAGATAGTTGTGGAACATCTACTAAAGATTTTAAAAACATAGAGTATGGATTAATTTTTAATATTTCCATCAGAGTTCTCACAACATACTCATTTAATTTATTTGAACATGCCATTCAATTTCTTAATTCATTTTCACTATCAAAGAAATATAATTGAAGATTTTTTCCTTTTTTATCTTTAGGAATCAAGTCATTGATGAAATGATACATCTGACCTTGAACCCGAAAAGTATAAATACCATTATTTCTTTTTGCTAATTCTTTGTCATAAGTTACTCCAAGAGATGTGAAAGCAAATATATTATTGTACGTTCTAATGTAAGTTCTAAAATGTTTTGATAGCTCTGTATTTTCCAGATAAAGGTTCTTTAAATCTATTGGAATCTCATGTGTACTTAATTGAATAGAACCATTGCTACAGCAAAATGCAGGCGGTTCATATTCAAATTTTATGGCTTTACAAAATTGACAGTTTGATACTTCTTTTAATTTGATATAATTAACTTCTGATGGCATAGTACTACCTATTTCTGGTAGGAGCAACATGCGTTGTCTCATAAGATTGGAACTTTGTGCAACAGAAATAATGGTGGAATCAGAAGATGATGCAATTGTCAAATCATTATTCATTGAACTTTCAGATAAGTTATATTTTCTCATTTCAGCTCTCTTTGCTTGACGGCGTGCCAAAAGAATTTCTTTTTCCTCAGGTGGCATCAATCTATATAATTCGCGTCTCCTAGCATTTCTATCCGCATTTGATTTTTGAAAAGCATGCACATTTTTATGGTTTCTATTACTTGACATCTTTGGGATCAAAATAATTTTACACAAAATAATTATCTGGTAAATAATAGTAATAATTTTAAATAAGGGATTACTTGAGTAATACTTACCACACACTTAGAGAAAAAGTGAAACACAGGAGCGAACAACTACCGCAATTAAAAAAAATTAAAAAATGCAAAAATTGTAAGGCTGATTTAAATAAGGGATTAGTTGAGTAATACTTACCACACACTTAGAGAAAAGTGAAACACTGGAGCGAACAACTACCGCAATGAAGTGGAAATTCTGTAAAGTTAATAGTTCAAACCATATATTAAATAATATAATAGACATGTTTAAAGAAATAATTTAAAAATGTAAGGCTGATTTAAATAGTAATGCAGAAGAGAATATGAAATGAGAATAGTGAGGCTAGCTTTTGTCAGCACTAAGCAATAGGATGTTATCATTTCTAATTCATTTTAAAGTTACTAGCTAAAGAAGAAAATAGTGAGGCTAGCTTTTTTCAGCACTAAGCAACAAAATGTTATCATTTCTTATTCATTTTAAAGTCACCAGCCAAAGAAGAAAACAAACAACAAATAGCTCATTAAGACCATGGACAAACATACAGCTCTATCCTATTTCATAACTGTTACCAACTAAAAAGAAGTATCCATCTCAATTAAGGCTGCAACATAAAATTTAACTGGAAAAATGTGTTACACACTAACACGAATAAAAATAAGCTTGGGTGATCAGTTACATACACCAAAATTGTACAAACTGTAAATGGTTGATTTCTAACAGTTGTCTATTGTGTAAAATTCTACATGA